GAGGCAATAAGTGTCAAAAATGACTTTTCGGCAAATTATTATTTAGAATAAATAATCTTAACCAAGTTTTAGTATATGTTACAAGGTTTCCGTACATATAAAGACCGCCGAAATCCGAGTTATAACGAAGAAGTTATGACCCATCGAAGTTTCGCAACGGAACCGACACGATACCGGGAAACGTAAATAGTGAATCTACGATAGAGCGAGATTTAGCCTTAGCGATCTAAACAAAAGTCGTAGAATACATTAAACCAAAAGCGTCCATAAAAAGAACGCCCAAATCTGACTTCGTATAAGGAAGTTATGATTTTTCGAAGTTTCGGATTAGTAGTATACAGCCCGAAGTTCGAGTATTAGATTGACCGGTTTTTAGCCGAAACAACCTAAATGAGAATCAAAGATCTCATTATTAGTAGCGTAATGATAAAAAGACAGACAAAAATGGATATCGGATGAAGAAGTTATGAGATTTTAACGGACCAATCCTGTCTCGATCTATTAAAAATATAACTTTAAAAATAAATTCAAAAGTCTCCATCTACGCGTGGATATAAAGAACGTCAAAAACAGAGTTCATATGAACGACTTACAAATTATAATAGCATATTTACGTATTAAAATAAAGTATAAATCGTATATACATACACATATATATACATATGTATATATCATTAGAAAGGTATCAACGATGCGGTCATTATAAGACTAATGTTGAGTTCTTTCGACATTAATTTAGTACAAATATCGTTAAATCTATTTAAAATATTATTATAAATGGGTGTTTAGTTGTTTATATAACTATAAGCTCATTAAGTAATTATGGAGGGTAGTTTTTGTAAATTTTATTACTATAAATAAAAGGCTTGGGCTCTCATATTTCTTGCACCATTCTCTTGATTTAAGAGTCTTTCTCTTCTTATCACCCGAGCATTTCGGTCCCTCGTGATTCGACTTCTCTTTCTGTAGTTTTAGTATAGTAAGGTGAACACTGAAGCGCTGCACGAATCTTTCTTAGAAAGATTCAGCGACGAAGTTCTGCTCCTGTAGAGCCCGACTCCTAGCTAAAATCCCCTTGTAAGTAGTTATGCTTACCCTATTTTAAATATAGTTTATATTTAAAATTAGTATTGTTATTATAAATGTATAATAAATATTTGAGCTATTATTATGACTTATATAAGTGTCGTTATAATATCTTTTTAACTACTCGCGGTATGGGGAATCTGGTTTAAAGGGCCGCATAGGGTTGTTGGATTTCAGAAGTGCTATACGCCAAAATGGTCCTGCCGTCTGATGTTTTGTGTCTGATGTTTTATGTCTGACCCCTGTTTGTACAAAGTGGTTGGAAAGTATTGTTTAAACTCTTATATAATAATAATAATAAGACTAATAATTAGTCACGGTAAAATCTAGTTATAATAATACTAGGTTTTGTCGAAGGAAATTATTTTAAAGTAAATGAAGCGTTGTCTGAGTACCGAGTCACCACCTTCTCAGGTGAGTGCATAGTTACTTTCATCTTACACATAGATATAAAGTATTTTATATAAACTACGTGTTATGTGTGCATATTATCTGAATACTTGTTGTCTATGCTGGATGAACGTTTTTTTATACATGTTTTAAATGATTTGAACTGTATACGTATTTTAAATATACAAGTATGTTGAGTATGAGATAGGTAGATGAATGATGAGAGATAAAAGATGATGTGAGTAAACATTGGCAGCTATAGACTTAGTGCCTAACAAATAACATCGGCAGTTATGGACTTAGTGTCTATTGGATAAACATTGGTAGCTATGGACTTAGTACCTGTTAGGAATTGGTAGCTATGGACTTAGTATCTATTAGATAAACACTGGTATTTATGGATTTAGTACCCAACAACTATGGAATTAGTGCTTTACGAACGAGCATTGACAACTATGGATTTAGTGCCGGTCCTATAACTCTGGAAGCAAAGGACTTCAGAATAAACGAATGCGGGATAGACGACTCTTAGGATAGATCCTTAAGAGTAAAGAAGATAATGGGAATGAGTAACTGGGTCGATTGTTTGATTGTTTAAACATAATAATTATATTATTGTAGGTTGAAAACTCTATGTACTCACCAGGTTTCCCAACCTGACCCACTCAGTTTATTTATATTACAGGTGTTGAGATGAAGTCACATTACACTGAGATTAAAGAGATGTAGATCACTAGTGTAAATAAATATAAGTTTTGTTTATGCTTATGTTTCTGTATTGACGATAACATCCCAAATGTTTTAAAACGAATTAAAAATAATTTTCTTCGGAAATGCTTTGATAACGTATTTATCATGTTTTACTGAGAATAAATTCCGCAACATTTTTATTAAAAGAGGCACTCTGATTTTTATAAAGCATAAACAAAATCGGTCTTTTATGGCCGTGAAAATGGGAATGTCACAATGTACAACAACAAAACTTAGAATTTCTTCATCGTCGAGCAGAGGAAGATCAAATGACGAATGATTTGGCAATTCTTCGCACTAGCGAGGAAAATATGACGCCACGAGATTTTGAAGGACTTCAAAAGATGAAGTAGAAATCCAGAAAAATATTTGGACTACGTCTATCGTATCGTTTTTATGTTTTTAAATTAGGAATATCGTATTTTTTGCGTTCAATGTTATTATTATTATGTTTTTGTGTAATGTTATTTTCCAGTTTTTAAATGTTATGTTTAGTTCAGGATTTAATTAAATAGCATGTCTTATTAATTTATTTTGTTTTTATAAATATTGTAACATAAAATAAAAAACAAATCGAAAAAAATAGAAAAATATAAATTGAAAAAAATAAAAAATAAATGAATCGAAAAAATAAAAAAGAAATGATGATATGAAAATTAGTGGGTGTTACACCATCTTATCAATGTTATTAAAATCTTGATTTTTATATTACGATCTTATGATTTTAAGATCCTATATGTGAAAAACAATCTCGATCACACTACAATCCTGATTTTACCTCTTTAGTTTTATTATAAAACCGAGTATAAAAAAGTCGTATATTAAACATGAAATCGAGTATCACAAGTTCCATAAAGTCTTCTATAAAACTATAACATCACCATTCTATCAATTCATATCAGTTAGGTAGAATACACCATAATAATTTCTTTGTGATCTTATACATGATCAAAATGATCTCATTTCATCCGAGTTAAGTAGATCATACCCATAGCTGATTTAGTATTTTCAGTTTGTAGCAACAAGAAAAATATAGGTGATGCTTAAGAAGTGAAGTTAATTACACTATTTTGTGACCAAATTTTGGGAAAACTACAATAAAGTCCCTACATATTGGCCTCATAATCGATTTAGTCCCTATATATTTTTTTTATTCAATTAAGTCCCAAATACCGGTAATCGTATTCAATTTAATCCTTTGACCCGGTCAACAGGTCATCCAACTTTCAAAAATTACATTTTTGGCCCAGATTTCAAAATTTATTACAAATTTGATCCAAAATTTACACTTTTGGCCCGGATTTTAATTTTTTTTTACAAATTTGGTCCAAACTTTACCTTTTTTGCCCAAATTTTAGAATTTTATTATGAATTCATCTAATTTTAGTTTTTTTGCAACTTTTTTTTTTCAAAAAATTGTTTCTAATATGTTTTTTCTTTATAAAATCATATTTATACCAAAAAAAATGTATTTTCACATAAAAATCTTATATTTTCTATATAAAACTTTTTTTAAAAAGTTTTTTGTATATGAAATATCTAGTTATAAAAATATGTATTTATTTAGTATATAAATATATATAAATTTGTTTTTATAAAAAAATGTATACACACCTATCACCTTTATATATATATATATATATATATATATATATATATATATATGCACACAAATAGGTGTGTATCTATATTTTTTTATAAAATCGTGTTTGTTTATATTTTTTTTATAAAAACGTGTTTGAATAATTTTTTATATAATACGTGTTCGTATACATTTTATAAAAACGTGTTTAAATAAGTTTTTATATAATACGTGTTTGTATATATTTTATAAAATCGTGTTTGTATACATTTTATAAAATGTATACAAACACGTATTATATATAAAAAAAAATTCAAACATGTTTTTATAAAAAAAATATAAACAAAAACGATTTTATAAAAAAAATAGATAAAATAGGTGTTTGTATACATTTTTTTTCATAAAAACGGATTTCTATATATTTATATACTTAATAAATACTTATTTTTATAACTAAATATTTCATATACAAAAAACTTTTTGAAGAAAGTTTTTTTATAACTAAATATTTCATATACAAACACGATTTAATAAAAAAAATATAGATACACACCTATTTGTGTGCATATATATATATATATATATATATATATATATATATTATATATATATATATATATATAAAGGTGATAGGTGTGTGTACATTTTTTATAAAAACAAATTTATATATATTTATATACTAAATACATACATATTTTTATAACTAGATATTTCATATACAAAAAACTTTTTAAAAAAAGTTTTATATAGAAAATATAATATTTTTATGTGAAAATACATTTTTTTTTTGTATAAATATGATTTTATAAAGAAAAAACATATTAGAAACAATTTTTTGAAAAAAAAAGTTGCAAAAAAACTAAAATTAGGATGAATTCATAATAAAATTCTAAAATTTGGGCAAAAAAGGTAAAGTTTGGACCAAATTTGTAAAAAAAAATTAAAATCCGGGCCAAAAGTGTAAATTTTGGATTAAATTTGTAATAAATTTTGAAATCTGGGCCAAAAATATAATTTTTGAAAGTTTGATGACCTGTTGACCGGGTCAAATGATTAAATTGAATACGATTACCGGTATTTGGGACTTAATTGAATAAAAAAAATATATAGGAACTAAATCGATTATGAGACCAATATGTAGGGACTTTATCGTAATTTTCCCCGAAATTTTAATATGAGTTAATTTTGAAAAAATCCTTCGATCCCAATCTTGATTTTGAAAAACATAAAACGGTCTTGGTAAGATTTCGATTTTGCCAACGTCAGTTGGTGTTATCAACCTGGTTGCCTTATTGCGGGCCCCACCTAAACCGCTTATGCTTTCTAGCACATTTGAAGACTATATTTACCGAATTTAAAAGTGTCGTCTGATCATATCGATCGAATTACAACTTGAGCAATTCTGAATGGAGACGTCTCACAAACAGGTGGTGCTCATTACAGGATGCTCCTCCGGCGGCATCGGGAACGCCCTGGCCCGCGCTTTCGCCGCCAGGGACTGTCTCGTTGTTGCGACGGCGCGTTCGCTTTCTTCCATGCCGGATTTGAACGATAAGAGTGATATGTTCTTTCTTCAGGAACTTGATGTGTTGAGGGATGAGAGTGTTGTAGAGGTTGTCTCGAATGTAATCGATAAGTTTGGGCGGATCGATGTTCTTGTCAATAATGCTGGAGTTCAGTGTATTGGTCCTCTTGCAGAAATCCCTCTTTCTTCCGCTCAACATACGTTTAACACCAATGTTTTCGGTATTATCTCATGCTCGTGTTTTATGAGCTTGATTCTATCATTTAGAAAATATCAGTGACATTCCTCATCTGTTGTTTCTATGATTCAATTGTTCTTAATTGCATCAACTCGAGATAAGTGTTCATTTCCAATAACTCGAGAGAACTGGAATCCTGTTCCACAATAATTACTTCCTTCAGCCATGAACAGTTAGCTTTTATGTAGGTACTTTAAGGTTGATTCAAGCCGTTGTTCCTCACATGGCATCTAGAAAGAAGGGAAAGATTGTGAACATTGGAAGTATATCTGCTATGACCCCTGGACCATGGTCAGGAGTCTACAATGCATCTAAAGCTGCTATACATTCGCTAACTGATACATTACGGTTTGTCTCTCTTTTCTGATTCCAATTCCATTCATTCCTGATTCAATTCCATTCCAGTCCTTAATCGATGAAATTGAATGTAACAGGTTGGAATTGAAGCCATTAGGGATCAATGTAACTAATGTTGTACCTGGAGCCATAAGATCAAACCTTGGGGATTCAGCAATATCCAATTACAGTAAGATGCCGGAATTGAAACTGTACAAGAAATACGAGGTCGCAATCAAGAAACGAGCTTATTTTTCACAAGGACCAAATGCGACTCCATCTCAAGAATTTGCAGAAAAGACAGTAGATGCAATCCTCAAACAAGACCCTCCTTCTTGGTTCTCTTATGGTCAATATTCCACTATATCTGCCATTATATACCATTTGCCTATTTTTCTTAAAGATTTCATTTTAAAGAAGGCTATGAAATGTTAGTTTTCCATTTCTGTAACTTGTTATAAGACGATGAGGGTATAAACTATAAGAACTTTTCATACACAATGTGATTATCAGTTTATGACATGTGCATATAACATATTTGGGTTGTGGTTAAACATTTTTCTAGAAGTCGTATTTACATTATTGATGATAGATATTAGATAAGGCTATGTGTTTGAGCTGTTGGGTATGAGAGTTAAATTATATTAAATTTTGTTCATTTAATATTGGCACCTCATGGTTTAAATGACTAAAGGTTTTGATACTCTCAAACGTTTTGATTGAGAATAGTCATTAAACCAAGAGGTGTTAATATTAAATAAACATGTTGATCTCCAACAAGAACTAGTTCTATGCACGATTCATGACTTGTATATCGACTTGAATATTCATTATCATATATTATAGTATATAATATAATATATATAGTTCTTTAATAGTGTCTTCAAAAATTGTTATATTTTTATTTATATCTACGTTGTCTAGACCCAATTAGGTATGCTCTCGATTACACCTTTAAAAATCACACATGAATTTAATCCCGAAACAATCATAAAAATCGGTGGAAAGTTTTCAAAATATTTTACACATGTTAGCATCATTTGAGAAATAACAGTAGATGTTGGAAAATAAATTTGTGATAGCATAAACGTTTGTTGATATAGTACTCCACTAACGGGTAATATCGTCTTTTAGACAAAATGGGAAATTTTTTCTCTATGATATTTGGATAATAATTCTTGCTTTAACAAATGTTTAATCATTAGGTAAAGAGAGTTTCACCTAGTAAGCATAATTTCAACCGTTCTTAATGGTCTTACTCATTTCCTCTTTCAAAAACTTTTCCATCTTTGATGTTGAATAGGTCCGTTTCTAAAAATTGTCTTTTTTGATGTTCTAAAATTTGGGAGGTGGGATTCTTTTATTTAATTAAACATATTGTCAAGTTGAAAACATGACAACAACAATGTATGTGATAAAACTTCAAATCACATATTGGATTCAAAACTCGTATCATTCGATTAATAGTGTTACCATGATTACTAGCATTGTGTACTGTTATCAAAAGTATCTTTATCATTTACTTTAAAAGTGTTTGTTATTCTCATTAACATATCATATTCATATATTAGTTCATCTTCATCCCTAGATGAAAGTTTTTCAAAAGAAAGAATTCATTTTTGCATAAAAGACCATGTTTTTAGATTGATTTAACGTATCGTGATTCAAATAAATAGCAGAGTGGTATCATATGGAGTGGTCCGAACTCACTAGTTAATGATACTGAGATTCAAGAGACATTCGGTATTTATATTTTTTTTTTGGAAATATTTAGTAGGGTGTTGCAATGGATTTTTATAATTTAACTACAATTAATACAATACCTCATCACTAAATAAAAATAAAAGTAGAATTAATACAACATATCCTAACTAAATAAATACAAAACTAGACATGATATGTATATTTATTTTCATTTTTTCGTAAGTTATAATGGAAACGGTGTTTGTCCATCCACAATTTTTTGTTTCTATTGGATGCCCTTTTTAAGATGACAAAAACAATGGAGGCTAGAAGGTGTAGGTACAGTAGCAAGAAATAGTCGAGGTATATATATATATATATATATATATATATATATATATATATATATATATATATATATATATATATATATATATATATATATATATATATATATATATATATATATATATATATATATATATATATTTTAACCACGCCCCAATCCTATGTGGAGTTGAGATGGAGTGTTTTTTCATGGTAGAACCATAATATCACACCCTCAAGCCTAAGACCTTCCACGATAAGCCTTGCAAAGCCCCTACAAAACCAAATTGAAAGCCACCTTGGATTTGGTCTTTTATAGTTTGAAAGACTTGCGAAAGTAAGTCAAATTGAAAACCACGTTGGATTTGGTCTTTTACAATTCGAAAGATTTACAAAAGTTAATCATTTTAATAATATTATATTATTTTTATAGGAAGACTACTTTAAATCTTTAATAATACTATGTATCTAGAGTCCGATATTGAATATTCAATATTTGTTTCAACTAGTATATTTGATTTCAAACGTATTTTAGAAAGGGAAAATAACGGCAATAGTCAAAAAAATTGGGGTATTTTCAAAAAATAGACATAAAAATGGACTTTTCCGGATATAAACATGCACTCCGCAGAGGTAGCTCCGCGGAATCTACCGTAGCTCTGCGTAATAGCAAAATCGTAAATAAATTAATGTATTAAAATCACACTAAAGATCCATTCGGCGGAGATACTTCGAGGAATGAACGACGCAACAGAATAGATTTTGATGGGTTCTCAGTTTGGATCCCTAGTAGATTCCGACCATGTCAGCAGCAAGAGTGCAGTTCCAATCCCAGAAGATTCCAAGCTACCTTCCGAAGAGCTAGAGATGCCCTTGTTCGATGATGATCAGTCCGATAACTGGATCCTTGAGACTGAATGGTATTTTTCTTTTTACCGATTGAGAGAAGAAAACAAGTTCGATGTTGTAGTGGCTCTTCAAGGCGACGCTCTTCTGTGGTATGAATAGGAGCATAGGAGGCGACCCATTATAGATTGGGAAGAGATGAAGAGCTTGATTCTTCGTCAGTTCCAACCACCACCATCATCCTTACCCCCGTTCCGAGAATTAGAAGCAAGGAACATGGGAAAGAGAGATCCGGTTTTGAACTAGAAAGGAGTTGTCGGGGATCACCGGAATCTAATAGCGTATTCTCATGCCGCCATAGTAACAGAGCACAGACCTAGCATGACGGCTCCGTTAAACGAACTAACGGAAGAGGGATACCTAGTTCATCAAAGAAATGGGCCGAAAATCAAGGAATGGGTCGAATTTGGCAAGTTGGGCCTACATTGGGATCATACTATTAATGCATATAAGAAGTTAGGCCCGGATGAAATTAAAATGACTGTAACTCAAAGTCTTGCAAACACCCATGATTTCACCAGCACGGACCTTCTCGTCACCATTGATGACCGCTTCCTCAAGCTTCGTACCAACTGCTTTGGAGTCGACAGCATCAGTTTCTTCCAATTTCACCCCCAAAATCCTAGGGTTAAATACTGAACTTCTATCGTCCACCATCTTTGCCACAGCCCTGAAGGGTAACTCCAATAACAGCAGTAAATCGATTCTTGGAGCTTGTTTAGGGCCCACACCAACAACAATACCCAAGCCTCTAAGGCTATTTGTTTGTGAAGAAAATTGTGTCAAGATGGACGTCACTGTACCCCATTATTCTAAATCCAGGTATAAGGAAATCATGATGGAAGTTGGATACAACCATGACAAAATCTCATTGGTCCTAAGCTCTCGATTTGAAGATAGAAACATCAATGAGAGGTCAACCAACCTTCATTTGCAGTAAGACAGCTGAAAGCTGGAGTCTTGAGCTGGTGGAAGCTATTGGCAGATACGATGCCACGAGGAGAAGCCTTAAGGATGTCGTGGGAAGAGTTTTTGGAGCAGTTGAAAATGCAGTACTGCTCGGAGGTAGATCTGATAGACCTAAACAACGAGTTTCAGAACCTGAAGAAAGGGAAGATGAGTATTGACGAGTATGCCACCGCATTCACCGAAAGGATGAAGCTATTCCCCTACTTGGTGCCTACTGAACTCTCCAAGATTGATAGGTTTGCTAACGGACTGCCCATTGACTTTGGCCCAATGGTCAAAATGGCAACTACTTTGAAAGCAGCTGTTAGGGCAGCTAAGAACGTAGAGGCCCAGATAAGAGAAAAAGGTCTAGAAAAAGATAAGGTAGGAGAGAAGCGGAAGTTTGAAGGATCTTCGAGGCCGAACAAGGAAAGCACATTCTCAAAGCTTGGAGGAGCAGATGGAGGTGAAGCAAGATGGTGTGATAGATGCAAGAAGAAGCATGGTGGAAAGTGCAACGAAGAAGTGACTTGTTACAAGTGTGGGAGGACTGGTCACTATTCCAAAGACTGCACGCATAATGACAAAGTATGTTACGGATGTGGAGGCAAGGGGCACATGTCCAGAGACTGCCCAATGAAAAATAAAGCAACAAGACCAGAAACGCCACCAAGGCCGAGGGCATTTCACATGATCCTTGACGAGGCAGAGAACCATGCAAGGAATCAAGAATGAGGACTTCTTACCCGAAGATCGGATTATGCAGTAGCCATAGTTTCGTACGATGTAGCCTAGTAGAGGCATAGTCTAGGGTGAACTTGAACACCTATGTAATAGTTTCGAGAAATAATGAAATCTTCGTTTTGTTATCTGGTGTGTGAAATTGTTGTGTGATTTGCTGCATGGTGACTTGGGAAACTGTGAGACGATACTTGGGACGAGTATGAGTAGGTGTGAATGGTAGTAGAGGCCTATACTACCGGAAGCACAAGACTCACACTTGGATCAGGGAAAGTCACAAGGTTACCAAGAAACTAGTAAGTCATAAAGTCCCAATCTTGGGACCAAAAAGGTCCATAAACTTGTACTAAGGAGATCTAAGAGGTTAATCATCAAGCTCAAGACTTTTTACCTTGCAGAGGTCCGAAATGAAGCACTTATCCCAGATCTACAAGCTCTAGCTTCAAAGGTTCCTCCTTGCCAACCTTCTTCTCTTTGCTTCCAAGCTCTAATCCACCAAAATGGTTTCTCCAAGGTCAAGATCTCATAAAATGAAGATAGGGACGATCTAGGGTTTCTTCTGAGGTTGGGGAGGCTGATATGGGGGCTAGGGTTGGAACCATAATGTCCATTATATAGTGCTTAACCTAAAAATTAGGGTTTTGAGACTCTGAGCGTACACTGGGCGTACTTCTCGTACGTCAGGCGTACGCTTACCTAAACTCGCGATCACTTGCTCTTCTATGTTGGGCGTACACCAGCCTTACGTTGGGCGTACCCAGCTAAACACGTGTGCACTACATGCGTGCAAAAGGGGCTGTCTTGCCAATTTTTCCATTAAGGGCCATTATTGTCAACATCTTCAAAGTGTTGTAACTTCTTTATTCTTGATCCGTTTCAGGCGAACTTTATGTCCACGGAAAGGTGACGAGAAACCCTACGTTTCTAACAACACAGCCCGGCCCGAAACTTCTCGAATAACAACTCCAAATTTAATAAAGGACTAAAACGCCCCTGGCCTTGGCCTCTAAAATTCTACAAACGAATATTTTAGAACAGGGTGTTACACCAGCGTTCTTTATATCTCCGGAATCCTTGTCCCGACCACTACAACTTTCTTCATAGATATTTGGTCTATTTATTATTTTATTTTTTATGCTTATTTTTATTCTTAACTTATTATATCTTATAAATAAGTATAATGCACATAATTCACATATATTCAAATAATTTCTCTTAATTACTTCAAAGGAGGTTACAATTATTGACCCTAACTATTACACCATTATACTAATGCTTAGCCTAGAAACACGGGTGTTACATGGCGGTTCTTGATCCTAGCTGAGTACGCTAAGCGTACGCTAGGAGTACGTTGGGCGTACTGGCTAGAACTTCATATTGCAGAGGCTTCAGCATATGTTGGGCGTATGCATGGACTTGTTTAAGTTAGGCCTCAGGCACACCTGATTATAAGCAGGTCATTTTTTTGGTCTTAAGGCCATGTTGGGGTTCTTGGGCCATATTGGGCCTTAGAGGCCTTGTAGTTGGGCTTGGATGCCTTTTTTTTTGGCTTTTTATGGATTTGGGCCTTAAGGGGAGGGGGCTCATTGAGGCAGGGGTAAAGGAGTCCTTTTTGCCTTAAGTCAAGAATTAGGGTTTTGGACTTGAGTTCGAGATCATCACTTTAGAAGAAGAAGAGTAATCATAGGAGAAGAAGAAGTCATTCATTCATGAAGAAACCCTAAATCGATTTTTAAAGGAAAAATATATCATTTATTGTTTTATCAATAATTATTCTGACATATCATAATAGTTAAGTCGAGTCATCATTTAACCTGTAAGAGCCAATTACCGGTGGGTAATATTTGAACAAAACATATAGTTTGTCGGTGTTTTTTGTACAAAAAGTTTACTTGGATGATGTTTTTTGAATATACCAAACTTGGATGGTGTTTTTTGAATGATTTTGAAACATAGTTACCCCTCTGAGTCATTTCCTTTTGTTTTTTTTTTCTTTACTTATTTTTTTCAGTAATTATCGGTTACTAAAAAGTCAAATTTGAACAAATAATGTACTTTGTTGGTGATTTCTTGTACAAATACTATACTTAAATGGTGTTTTTTAGAGATGCAAAACTTGAATGATAATTTTTAAAGGATTTTGAAACATAATTACCGATATAAGTCATTTTCACAAAAAAATAATTTCTGCGTTTATTAGCTGATATGGTGATGGGCACTCCTTATGATATTACGGATGGGATAAGTACAACAACTATTTATCGATCAACCAGAGGAGCCTACAATGCTGCCGTATTGACGGTCCCACCAAAACAGCTTATGCTTTTCTAGCTCATAAATGAAGACTATATTTACTGAATTTAAAAGTGTCGTCTGGATCATATCGATCGAATTACAACTTTAGCAATTCTGAATGGAGAATTTTCACAAACAGGTGGTGCTCATTACAGGATGCTCCTCCGGCGGCATCGGAAACGCCCTGGCCTGCGCTTTCGCCGCCAGGAACTGTCTCGTTGTTGCGACGGCGCGTTCGCTTTCTTCCATGCCGGATTTGAACGATAAGAGTGATATGTTCTTTCTTCAGGAACTTGATGTCTTAAGGGATGAGAGTGTTGTAGAGGTTGTCTCGAATGTAATCGATAAGTTTGGGAGGATCGATGTTCTTGTCAATAATGCTGGAGTTCAGTGTATTGGTCCTCTTGCAGAAATCCCTCTTTCTTCCGCTCAACATACGTTCAACACCAATGTTTTCGGTATTATCTCATGCTCGTGTTTTATGAGCTTGATTCGATCATTTAGAAAATATCAGTGATATTCCTCTATTTGTTGTTTCTATGATTCAATTGTTCTTGATTGCATCAACTCGAGATAAGTTTTCATTTCCAAAAACTACAAAAGGGTCTAAGCGAATAACTCGATTAATCAGTAAACAATTACTTCCTTCATCCATGAACAATTAGCTTTTATGTAGGTACTTTGAGGTTGATTCAAGAAGTTGTTCCTCACATGGCATCTAGAAAGAAGGGAAAGATTGTGAACATTGGAAGTGTATCTGCTATGACCCCTGGCCCATGGTCAGGAGTCTACAATGCATCTAAAGCTGCTATACATTCGCTAACTGATACATTACGGTTTGTCACTCGACCTCTTCTGCTTCCAATTCCAATTCCATTCATTCCTGATTCAATTCCAATCAAGTCCTTAATCGATGAAATTGAATGTAACAGGTTGGAATTGAAGCCATTAGGGATCAATGTAACTAATGTTGTCCCTGGAGCCATAAGATCAAACCTTGGGGATTCAGCAATATCCAATTACAGTAAGATGCCGGAATTGAAACTGTACAAGAAATACGAGGTCGCAATCAAGAAACGAGCTTATTTTTCACAAGGACCAAATGCGACTCCATCTCAAGAATTTGCAGAAAAGACAGTAGATGCAATCCTCAAACAAGACCCTCCTTCTTGGTTCTCTTATGGTCAATATTCCACTATATCTGCCATTATATACCATTTGCCTATTTTTCTTAAAGATTTCCTTTTAAAGAAGGCTATGAATTGTTAGTAACTTTTTATAAGATGATGAGGGTATAAAGTATAAACTATAAGAAATTGTCATAAAAAATGTGCATTAATCTAATGTGGAGATTATTTTGTGTTTTCTTTTCATATAGCATGTTTGAGTTGTGGTTTAATGTTTTTCTAGAATTCGTATTTACATTATCGATGATATAGATATAGATAAGGATATGTAGTTGGTCGTCATTTTGAGTTGTATAAATGCGAGGCTCTATTTTGCAACTTGCATAGCTGCATGTAGAGTAGAAGACTATGCATTAATGCGAGGCTCGTTATATTAATATTATAGCCCTTTTCAAAATCAGTATTAGTATATGAAGACATTGACACTGACCTTCCTTCCATTTTCATATTCCAAAATCTTGTTTTGTAGATAGGTTAAGTCTTCTTCAAGATCCGTGTTGTTTTGTTCTCTCTCCTTTGAATCATGATAGTTATTCAGATCACTGATTTGTCTAAAGATGTTGATACTCTCAAAACATTTTAATTGAGAATAGTCGTTAAACCATGAGTTGTTGATATTAAATAAACATGATGATTTTGAACAAGAACTAGTTTGATGAGTTGGTGATCTCAAGATAGAAATTCTTTATTCATGACAATTGACTTGTATCTCTGACTTAGTATTCATTATCATATATTATATATAATTCATTAACAGTGTCTTCAGAATTTGTTATATCTTTGTTTTTATATCTGTTGTCTAGACTCAAAAGTTGACTGATATTAGTTACATTCTTGATTACACCTTTAAATTTTACACGTGGATTTAATCCTAAAGCAAGTATGAAAATCGGTGGAAAGTTTTCAAAATATTTTACGTGTGTTGGCATCATTTGAGAAAAACATTAAATGTTGGAAATTAAATTTGTGATAACATAAACCTTTGTTCATATAGCACTCCTAAAGTCCTAAGTAACGACAATGTCGTCTTAGACAACATGGGAAATCTTTTCTATATAATATTCGGTTAATAATTATTGTTTTAACAAACGTTCCACCTTATCAGCATATTTGCTACCATTCTTAAAGATCTTACTTCTTTCCTTTTGCAAACCATTCTTAAAGATCTTACTTCTTTCATAATATAGGCCACAAGATTTTGTGAAGATGTCATGGAATTCAACATATAATGGGAAGATCAGATCATCATCAAGTATCATAATGAAAATGAAGCAAACAAGCATAAACCAACACAATTAGTTTTTGTCAAGTAGGATGTAAAAAGTAAAAACACAACCAAAGCATCAGAATTTGGTCTAAAGCCCAAAGCAAGTATCGATTGATCCATATGACATGACTGTGTTGTGATCAAAATGGGCTGGCTGCTCACTCAAAGTCACAGAAACAAAACAAACACCAAAACAAAAAAATCCATTGACCGGTCAACCAACCAATGAATCAGCAGCTCCTCCTGGCCCACCATTGCATTGCTGGACTGGAGCAGTTCCTTCCTAAACGCAAAAGCAAGTAACACCTGCAGACCTGCAAACATGTGGATTATATGATGATACTCTACTACTCTACCATTATCATCTTACATTGTTGTTTTCATTCTTCTAAAATAAGCTAGCTACATATCCAATCCATCATATCCAAACACATTCAGAAGGAGCTTCATTCCTCCCCTACTCCTTTACGCCTGCTTTCCCCTTCATCTTTGCCGCCACTTGTTCGTCGGAAAGCGGTAGGTAGTAGATACGAGGGGTGGCTCTTGTCTTCCTAAACAGATCATCCAATGTAACAATCGGAGGATCAACTGGTGCTGCTGGTGGCGGAGGAAGGGCGGCAACCTCCCTTACCGGTGGCGGAGGAAGCTGCTGTGGTTGTTTCTGAACATGTAGTCGAGGGGAGGGATGTGGCGGCTGCATGGCGGCTAGAGCTGGTGGAGGAGGAAGCTGCTGCTGCTGTTGTTGTTTCTGAACGTGCAGTCGAGGAGAGGGCTGCGGTGGTTGCATGGTGGTGGCTGGAGGTGGTGGTGGTGGTGGGTCGACCCGATTCTTAACCTCTTGTGGATCCACAAAATCGGCCATCAGAAGGCGTCCACCATTCACTGGCCACTGTAGGTTGCATACAGCATTTCGAGTTTCTATTGCTTCTTCTGCAGATGCATACTACACCCCAAAAAAAAAAACAAATCTTTAGATAATATTTTTATTTGACAAATAACCAAACATTTTATTTACTTACTGTAACATAACAATGGGTTTTGATATGATCCATCCAGAAACTGACAACTGTCCCTGTTTTCCCAAGAAGTTCTTGCACAGCTTTTAAAGTAAAAGGGCGCAAAAAATTATCAATTCGAAGAGAATTAGTTGGAGTCTTTGATGAAGGTGGAACTGCATTCAAAACAAACAAAAGTTTTTAATATCAAACTACATATTTTTAATCCCAAATTACAAAGCTGATAACATACCAATACGTTCTTTGGGTAATTCTTGATCAATTTTAGACTCAGATCTTGAAAATACACGTTTAACTGGAGTCTGAATTGTATCTTTAGGAGAAGTAACAGCAGAATGATTATTAGTTAACTGTTGTTCAGAATTCCATCTTCGTTGCCTCTTTACTACTTCACTGTTTTCTGCTAATACTGTAATCAAAGAAATTTATTAAATTCATGACCATTTTCTTTTTTTGACTTAATGCAAAAAGAACAACTTAATTGCTAATGGAAGAAGAAGAATAACTTACTCTGTGGTTTTCTTTTCGATGATGTTACATCTTCAACAGGAGCAGAATTCTTGTCATCTACAACCATAACATCAACAGAATCATCTTCTTTTACTTCAATTTTCCCACTGATATCTCCCACTTCATTAGGAGTAAACTTTGAGTCAATCTGTTTGCTTTCTTGAACATCTTCCTCCATTGAATCATCACCAGAACTTCTGTCTAAATTCAACTTCTCTGAAGAGCCCACATCCCCACTATCACTTTTCTTGCAAATATCAACACTTTCATCAGTGATTTTGTCCTTAAGTGGTTCATCAACTTCTTCAACTGATACAACAACATTGGTTGACATTTTCACCTCTTTAAGTTCAATAACTTGCTCTGACTTGACATCAGCAGCAATTACATTATCATTATCAATGTCAACTGGTTCTGATTTGCTATCATCTAAGACCATTTCAGGCTTAACATCTACCTCTGATTTCACATCATCAGCAATTACATTATCCTTTAGTTCATTCTTTTCAGAATTGGAGATAGTAGTATCAACAGAAATAGAATCAGAGATTACTTGGCTGACCTCAGTTACCTGGTTGCTGACCTCAGCTTGTTCTTCTTTAGGTGATTGAGATTCAGCCTTTGAATCCCCATTGTTTCCAACCACCTGTGATTCTTTCACATCAAACCCTTCATCTACAGTGCCCTCAGAGACCAAAACAGTGGTTTTGGTGGTTGTTGTTACTGAAATCTCTTCAACTACCTGAAAAGATTCCACTTGTGTAGACACAATGCCACCTTCTTCACCTTCTGTAACCATTTTTTCAGCTAAACCATCATCAGCCTGAACCATATCCATTTCCATCTGAACACTTGTATTACTATCTTTTTCCTTATCTAATCCCACATTATCTTTCTCTAAACCCTCGTTACCATCTTTTTCCTTATTCAACTCCTTAACATCTTTCTCTAAGTCCTCATTCTTGCCCATGGTGTTATCCAAGGCATCAGTGGTATCCTCTGTAACAACTGGGACAGCTGTTGCATCATCAGTGTGAACCGCATTGTTTAGGTCATCCTCAAGGTTTCTCTTAGCATCATCTATTTCAGAACGAACTGCTTCATCCAACCTTTTAACCAGGTCTTCTTTCAATCCCTTTGTCATTAGTTTCCGTTTCTTAAGTTCCTCTTTTAATTCAGTTACTTTCCATTGATCAAGGGGTCGATTTTCAAGGACAACATATGGTGAAGACACCGTTTTAGTATCAGACTTTTCTCCCATTTTTCCACACCTGAACCTTAAGATCAAACAAAGAAACAAAAATCATGTTGCAGAATGTAATTTCAACATACGAGCATGAAATGATATAGATAACTTCCTTCATAAAACTAGAACAAGCCAATTTCTACATATAACCCCCATTCCTGGAAGGATAAACGATACGAATTCCCATCCGAAACTTGTCGACGTAAATTAAACGAATAATATAAATGCAAGAAATAAATCGAGAGAGCGTGAAGTAGAGAACTCACAATGGTGGTCGACCAGACGAATCCTCGGAAGAATAACACTGATTTAGTAGGTCCCACACTTAATCGGTAGGTGCAAAAACTGAAACCCTAGCACACAAAAACAACGATCAGGAAAATCTAGAACACCTAGAAAACCATCAAGAAATTAGCAACAGTAAAGAGGGAAAAAATCATGGATTAGGGCACGAATCGCGTTTCTGTTTCAAGTGCCTGTAAACAAAGAAATTGTTTTGGAAAAATAAAATAAGATTGAAAAACTTTGAAAACAAAAACAGGATTTTTGCTATGGAATTAGGAGAAATGGTGTGCATAAGAAGCAGCTCTAGAATGGCGTTTGTTCGTTCTCCTAATGGAACGGAGAAGAATAGGGTAAGACGGAAGTAGTCGTCTATCTCTATCTATTTTATTTTTTAGGGTTTTTGCGTCTACGTTTTGTGCGAAACGCGATGAGACTATTGGCACGGAATGCAAAGCACTCCAAACCCAAACCTATTTTATTTCTAAAATTATTTTATTTTTCTTAATTTTATCAACAAATTGAGTGATCACAAAAACAAGGGAAAATGACTTGTAAAGTTAATTAAGTATTAGATATTTTTTTTTACACACATCACCAATCAATTATAGCTTTTGTAAATATATAACCATTAAACTTCGTTTTTGTTCAAAAAAATATCATTATATTACCAGTATTAGTAGGTCACCAACCACGTAACATGTCACGTGGCATATCATGTGACTGCTGACGTGGATTTTATTGTATATTATGTACACATTAAACCATTAAACTATTTTTTGTACACATTATATCATTAAACTTTTTTGTGTGTACATTTTACCATTAAACTTTTTGTACATATTTTACCATTAATCTTATATAATTTATTCAAAAAATATCATTTCAAAAAATACATATTTTTACATAAAATGGGTTTTCCATCACCTATTGTGACCCATGATTTTGTAAGGTTTGGAGGAAAGGGTTTGTTTTTGACAATGATACTAAGCACTTTCTTTTACAACTACATTGTGAATTTATGTTAGTCATACATCGATTGAAACCCACAATGTTTGAACTTGAGACGTCTATTTGGAGTGGCGAAGAAATACTCAATTGTTCATTATTTTAGCTAATGTCTAATAAACATATTCTTATAAGTCATTTTTTTAGAAAACTACGTTTGAAGCACACTTATAAACTCATGAAACATTTTGTACATGTTACCTTATTATAATCCCCTTTCTTTTTTATTATGGTTGATGATTAAAAAGGTGCATTGAAATTATATTGTTGTTTACCAATAGGAAAATGACTTATAATGATAAGTTTACTAAAATTTAGAAAATCAGTAAAAATCCACATCAGGCGATGGGAAACCTACTTTTATGTAATAATTTGTATTTTTTGAAATGATATTTTTTTCAATAAATTATATAACATTAATGGTAAAATGTGTATAAAAAATTTTAATGATCAAATGTGTACAAAAAAAAGTTTAATGGTATAATGTGTACAAAAAATAGTTTAACGGTATAATGTATACATAATAAACAGTAAAATTCACATCAGCAGTCACATGGCATGCTACGTGGTTGATGACGTATTATTATCGGTAATATAACGATATTTTTTGAACAAATGTGAAGTTTAATGATCATATATGTACAAAAGTTATGGTAGATTTGTGATATGTGTACAAAAAAAAAAGTTCAATGATATTTTTTGTACAAGTCTAATACTTTGTTACCCTTATAAGTTATTTTTCCCAAAAACAACCATTCAAATTTTTAGATAAGCAGAAATAATTTTGTTTTTTTGTCTTCAGTTTTATCAAAATGACTACTATAATTAATCAAAATGGATGTTATTTGAATTTATTTCCAACTAAATTTATGTCATATTAAGTATTTTTATGCTAAAAAAATACATTTTGGATTCAAATTTTGGAAAAAAAAAATTATAAAAAATAAGTAACCTGTAGAGTTGTGTCCCGTTTTATAAAAAAATGTTTGATGCAAATGAGAAAAAAAAAACATTATATATCATTGGGAATTGTGGTCATTTCCGCAAATCTTAAAAAGTTAAGTCTCATAAAATATGTAGTATTTTTGTAATATCCCGATAAAAAATAATAAATCACATAATAATAAGATCTCTCTAAGTACGTGAGGTTGTTTAAAACCGAATTTTAGAAAATGCTAACAAGTTTTATTGAATTATTCATTGAGGTTGTTTAATAATTAGATATAGTTATTCATAAATATTTTTAATTTATTTTAATTTTCAAACCAAAGTTAGTTTTCTAGACTCAAACTCGAACCTACTTACGAAGGATCATCAAATTATTGAATTTAGTTCAACTTTACCAAAAGGTCATTGATGTCAATTTTAGGTTCCATCGACTCTTGTATGACCCTAAGGGTGCATTTGGTTGGCAGAAAATGAATGAAATTCGAGGAAAAATGATTCTAATTTCCTCGAATTCATGCGTTTGGTTGGACTTAGAGGAGGGAAAATGATTTTTAAATGAAATAAACTTTCTACCATATAGAGGAAAGTGAATTCCCTTTAAAATTGAATGAAAAACATTCATTCTAATCAATGAAAGTAGCACACTACAAAAATATTCATTATACTTATCAGAAAACCCACCACCATTATCACCATCACCACCACTATCATTGACCACCACCACCACCGTTGACGCCACAATCATCGTCATCATTGCCACCACCGCCACCGCCACCGACCATCACTACCACCGCCATAACCACCACCGTCGCCACCACTACCACCCACCATCATCGCTGCCTCCGACGCCACCACCACTACCATCATCGTCGTTACCACCATTGTTGCTGCCACCAGTTGTCACTGCCACCATCACCACCACTTCCGCCACCACAGTCAATGACACCACCATCACCGCCACCCACAACTGTCGTCGTCGCCACTATCACCACCACCCACCATTATCGTTGCCACCACCGCTACTGCCCTCACCACCACCGTCACCACCGCCAAAATTTTACTGTTTTTATAATTTTCATAATGAATCTTTACATATAAGTTAGAAACAAGGTAAAATTAAGCAAAACATGCAAAAAAGTGTAATTTTGTCATTTTAAATGAATTTCAATTTCATTTCATGCGGACCAAACAGAATCTGGAATTAATTCCAATTTCATTTCATGTGTACCAAATAGAATCTGGAATTTATTCTAATTCCATTTCCTGCCAACCAAACACTATATGAAATTTAATTCAAATTCATGACATATTCATTTTCCAATTCTAATTCAAATTCCTTCGACAACATTTTGCGAACAAAATAGCACCTAAGATTAGTCATGTTTATTCCTTTTTTTGGAACCATTGATATTTATAGAATCAACAAAAAGCTAATAAGCGAAAACAATTACATATTTAGAGCCAACAAAGGGTTTTGTTAACATTAATTTTATGTTTTCTACGAGCGAACCAACTAAATGAAAAATAGACAATCTTTTCTAAAAATAATAAAAAGAATTTTTTTGAAAGTACGGAAAATGAAAAACGACCCTATTGCGGCATTTCCAAATGACCCAAATGCTAGTAGATAAAACTGAAGTCGAAACCAATCCAACAACTTTCCAAAAAGGAGTATTCTAAAAAGCATTATTCCAACCATTTCCAATCAAGTTTTTAAGACAATAATGAATAAGAATACAAATTTTCATGTAAACTAAAAGTTGATTACTCTTTGATCAAGTATCACTCGGCATTTGTTGAGTTGTGGCTCTTTCCAAAAAAAAAAATATCACTCGTGTTAATGCTTCCCGTCGTTCGCTACAGACCACCGTCCTCTCAATGTAGCCATGATGACTAACCCAAAAAGCATTAAAGTCATTTAGGAGTCTCTACCGCCACTTCTAAATAAGTGTCGGCCCAACATCATCAAGGCCACCGTTTGAGAAAATTTTATTTTTCTTTTTTCTTTCGCGATTTTCACCTCCTTAGAAAAACCAAGTTCTAATGCTCTCTAAAAAACTAACCATAGTATTAGGGATTCTAAATATCGACATAAAAGGAATACATAATATATCTCTTCAATAAATTTAAATGACCAACAAAAGAAATCATTTTTTACTTTCCATTTTAATAGTTTTTTTCTTAATTATTCAATCACCAATTTCCAACCATCGATACGATCCATGTTAGCCCCGACCCACAACCACGAGACCTAAATAGGAAAAACCGAACATAGGCGAACCACAACTCATATTTGCAACCATGTTTGCTATGTCCTCCACTTCAACCCTAACTCCATAAATATTAGATTTTTTGGAGATTGATTTTCAACCTCAAAGATAAGGAAAAATATCTCAAAATCCAAACCAAGTTTATAAACATTTTCGCCCTCCCATTCTCCCATGAACAATACATCTACAAGAAAAATATATGATTTTTTAAACCCATAACACCGATAACTGCAAATTTATAAATCAATAAATAAAACAACTATGTGTCACTGCATTTTTTATAGTTACATGTAAACCCTTCATAGCAATGGTGAACAACATAAGAGATAGAGGGTCACCTCTAAGCCCCTTTGTAACTAAAACTCCTTATAGCAAGATTCTCATTGACCAAAACAGAACATCTAACCATAGAAAGACAGACCAAATAAAACAACTAAGTAACACTGCATTTTTCATAGTTACATGTAAACCATTCATAGCAATGGTGACCCTTTGTAACTAAAACTCTTTAGGCTGTATTTTGCGCGTCACAGCTAGCTGATAAACTAGTTTATTTTTCGAGCTTTTTTATGTTGTCGTGTTTGGTAAGCCAAAAAGTAGCTTATAAGCTAGCTTTTTGAAAAGCTACTTAGACTAGCTTTTTATGAGCTTTTTTAAAAATTTCTAAATACACCCCTTAATTAATTATAGAAACACATACTCTCACATGTCCTTTTATGTAATTTTATATATTTCAGCTAGCTTTTCAGCTAGTTTTACCAAACGTCATTTTTTATCAGCTAGTTTTTCAGCTATCAGCTAGCTTTTTATTTCACAGCTAGCTTTTCAGCTATCAACCAGCTTTTCAGCTAGTACGCCAAACATAACTTTAGTAACAAGATTCTCATTAACCAAAACAGAACATCTAGTCATAAAAAAACAGATCAAATAAAACAATTATGTACCACTGCATTTTTCATTGTTACATGTAAACCATTCATAGCAATGGCGAACAAGATAGGAGATAGATGGTCACCCTATAAGTCCCTTTGTAACTAAAACTCCTTAGTAGTAGGAGTCTCATTAACCAAAACATAACATCTAGTCATAGACAGGCACAATCCATCTGATCTGTAACGAACCAAAACCCATAAAAACCATTAGCCTCTCAATTAACTCCAACGAAAATAATCATAAACTTTCTCAAAATCAACTTTGTAAACCCGAAGTTTTTTATACCACATGACAATCCTATTCACCATAAGAGGATCATCAAGAATTTGTTTGCCTTTAGTGGCGTACTAATGTTACCGACAACATGAGACAACCGATTAACTAAAATCTTTGTAGTTGGTTCCATAATAAACGACAGGTTACATCCACTAGGAATGTAGCTATTATCATGGAAATCTGCAACAAACACAATAATAATCACTTTTTCTATAAATACCCAGTATCTTTTCCAAAAAAAATAAAATCGTGAACCCATTCAGTACTATCCAGGTACTTTTTCTCCACCACACGACCAAACTACTTCCTTAATATCAACTCGCTAGAGCCTCGACCCTAACCATTTTGTTGATCCAAGTCTAGCATGTACATTTTGAAGGACTTTTATAAGAAAAAGCTATTAAACGTTACAGAATATATTGACATCATTATAATCAAATTCTTTGACGACCAACTCATAAAACAATAACAAAAATAATAGATTAACATCATTATAATCAAATTCTTTGATGATTTAACTCATAAAACAATAGCAAAAATACGACATGATAAAGTTATAAACACTTTAAAGAAAGTCGAGTGGAATCTTCAAGCAAAGTTCAGTGATCAATCAAAACTTGCATACTTAAGAGTCAAGACTACAAACTAACCTAGTAAAACTAGTAATTGTTCTATTCATGTATGAAAGGATTCAAAACAAAAGCTAAGTCAAGCTATATATCAATATTTTTTGGTAATCTTAGAGACAAATCTACCATGATCAACACTACTCACTTTCAGTATCACTTTCATCCAAAGTAATATGGTTCACATTTCGTTCGAGAGGTGGAAGTCCATCATCCGATCCTTCATCTTCACTATGGACTTCATCACCTACCACTGTAAACAAAACAAACAGTGACAGTGACAGTGTCAGTGTCAGTGACAATGAATAAGGCTTTGATTGTGTGTTAATGAGTAAGAAAGGGGAAAAAAGAGTGGATGAATTTTGTTTTTTAGAAGAGGAAAAGAAGAAAAGTTTATGAAAAATACCTTCTTCCTTTGGCACAGCCTTGGGAATTTTTGAACTTTGCTCAGATAGCCATGAATTTTGCACGTTAATAATCTCAGCACTATTCTCACATTTGGAATATGCCTTCAGAAGTTCCCTGAATTGCACAATTTTCACCATATGAAATACATGTATTCATAAGGTATCTGCAAATTCCATGTTTTAAAGGTGTTTTTGGTTCGTGGATTCCTTCGGATTTGGAATTCAAGATTCCATTCAAATGACGTGCTTGGTTGCCAAATGGACGGAATTGAATTCCTTCAAATTCCATGTTTTATAGATTTCACCATTCCTAGGAAGGGTTGGAATGAATCCAAAATTCCATTCTTTCTTACTCTTTTATTAAAAGACAAAAATACCCTCATTTTATATATATTGGAAAAAATAATAATAATAATAATAATAATAATACAGAAGGTGGTTAAAATACCTGTTGAGGGACAAGAAAGAATGACCCCACTTGAACTTGCTTAGCAACAACTCCCCATTTTCTACCTCACCACTATTGAAAACATGCATTTTTAAAAAAATATGAAATTATAAACAAATATGTTAATGAGCTACATTATTGGCTTCATAAATTAGATCATTATAACATATCTATTCCAATAGGTTAACATCAAATTTTCACTACAAATTTACAAATTATAACAATGAAGAAGATGATTAATGGTTATTCATGTTGTAAAACATGTGTTTTCACATAATCTTGAGCATATGCTTGACATGTTTTCCTCCATTTTACATTCAAAAAGTGTAATCAGTTTGATTTCCACTCTCTTATAGCATTAAAACCTTATTAACCCATACTTGACTTCCTGATTCTCTCTTCAATTCTCTTGTTTTTCTTGAAAAGTTTCAGTGTGTTTTAAAGATTGAAACTTTTGAGTACATGTAACCATAGATTTATCTTAGGTATATATAAAATTTTGAAGGGTAGTTACTTACCAAATATTTAAACCTATATATGACTGTTTCTCTATCTATAAGATATAAGTAAAAGTTGAGCTCATGATTAATTACTAAAATGGACACCATAGAAAGTTACAAAGGGATAAATGTAGTTACCATATAATTAAACCTGCAGATAAAGCCTCAACACAAGATAGCTCACAGGGTCGACCATAATTTACTGGATTTGCAGCCACCAACCATGGTACTGCATTTCAATTTGCAACCAATCTATCAATTTAGAACAAAGATAGCAACAATATTGAGTTTTCATAGCTTGAAAAATCATTGGAGATTTAAAAGGATTACTCAAATAAAAGTGTATATGAAAGTAAACATCAAGTAATGATATCTTATGAGAAGGAGATTGTTTGAAGATTTTACATAAACGAGGAGCAGCACATTTTAGCTTTGTAAAAGGGACATCATCCAATCGTGCCCAAGAACAATCCACAACTGCTAAACCTTTCCTTTTTATCAGCTCTGAATCTTCCCTTGAGATGCACTGTTGTCCAACAGGACTATTATCACAAAGGAAAATTCATTAAGATAATTGAATAATGCACACAAAAACACTACATTTATATGTTTTCAACTAAATCTTCACATACCTTAATGCAATGCCTCCAAAACCATTTCCTACTCGCAACTCCTACATAAGATTGTTCAATCATCAAATGGAAGTAATATAGGAAATCTAACAGTGTAAACACACATACACACACACACACACTTACTTTCAACAGGCCAAATCTAGCTAATTTGCGCCCTGTACACCTTTTAACATCACATTGACCAAAATCCTGAAGCAATAAAACTAAGTCATCAGAAACATTACATATAATTCATTTACAGAAAGAAAACTATAAAACAAAAAGAGTAAAGTTTTTGGAAAGGTGTACAAAGTATCTAACTATCTATAGTACTTGTTGTGAAGTTTGATGTGGTAAACAATGTTCTTAGTAGACCAACTTTCATATTAGTTTTAAGTTTAAGTCATATATTTGTTTAACAAGTAAAGTAGAATTTTTTGTTTTGGGGAGGATGGATAATTCCTGAATTTTGCAACAAGCACAAAATCAAATATTGATTCTCATAGATAAACCTAAAAGACTAAGAAGGAGGACTAATTCCAATCAGGTACATGAACGTACCCACATGGCTAGCTGAATTTTGGATACCACCATACTTGACTCTTCTTCAGTTTCTGCAACATTAGTGAATACGTATCAAACTCTATTGAGCACAAAAAACTCTCTTCTATGTAAAGAATCTTACTCAAAAGGGTTTGTAAGAAACTATTGGTGCTAAAAGATATACCTGGATCAGCAGGGAGAGATTCGTCTTCACTAAACAAAAGGTATGATTAAAAACAAGGGCAAATTTGTGAGATATACAATGAATTTGAAAAGAAAAAAAAAAAAAAAAAAAAAAAAAAAAACATATAAAGCTAGTAATCAGGAGTGAAATTACCGATTTAGTTGATTTGTCCGGCTAGATTGACCTTGTGCGTGATGATTTTTGAACTTCCTAGACTTATTGTGACCCATTTCGATAACAACCGATAGACCGTTGTGTAGACTGCTGCTTGTTCTGTTCTTAGGTCGCGCTACTCTTGCACCTTGTTCCCCAGTTGCCCAGTCACTAGTGGAGGGAAAGAGGAGTCGATCGTGTTCCTAACCCTATATAAGGATTTCATGTAAACTACATTACGCACAAAAATTATTGTTGCTAAAAAATATATATTGGTTTGGGTCGGTTTCTCGAATCGGTTTTCTGGGTTTGAAAACTTTTTTTTTTAATTTGAAAATTAAACCAAATCGAATTTAAATTCTTTTAACAAAAACGAAAATCGAATTCTAATTCGGTTTAAAAAACTAGGAAACCAAATATTAACTTAAAAATTTTTAAACATAAAATGAAATACCTAAAGTTGTAAACAGAAAGATCTAATGTTTCATATAAAATTATCCAAAGAGTAAATTGATTAAAATTATTTTTACTTATAATTAGTACTTTTATTTAATATAAAATATAAAATATATTTTTTAATTAATTGGTTTATGAAATTCGGTTTTTTCAGTTCGGTTTGGTTTAAACTTCATGAGACGAAAAATCAAATTCACAATTCGGTTTGGTCTCAAACCAGACCAAAACCCAAATTTGAATATTGTTTGTTCTGAAATTGATTTCTGATCAATTTAGTTTTCGGATTTTTCGGTTCCGGATCAAATAATTATCACTCCTATATACCTGGATCAGCAGTGAGAGATTCGTCTTCGCTGAACAAAATGTGTGATTAAAAACAAGAGCAAAATTATGAGCCACATAATGAATTTGAGAAAAAAAAAAAAAAGTAGTAGTAGTAATTAGGAGTAAAATTACCGATTTAGTTGATTTGTCCGACTATATTGAACTTGTGTGTGATGATTTTTGAACTTCCTAAACTTATTGTAACCCATTTCGATAACAACTGATAGATCGTTGTGTAGACTGTCGTCTCTGTTATGTTCTTAGGTCTCTACTCTTTAGATCGAGAATGATGTCGTCGATGATGGCTTTGATGATCGACAATATTATATCTTATATTTTTTCTTAAACTTACTTTTTATTTTAATTTTTTAAAATCCCTTGAGTTTTTACAATTTTTTTGTCTTTTTAATTTTATCATTGATTATTGGTACTCTTTTGATAATTGATTTTTTTTTTGAAAAAACAATATTTCTCCAAGAAAAAACTTATATTTTATGACATTATATATTTGGACTAACTTTTTGTTTTATCTAATAATTCGATTGTTCTTTGCTCTTTTTCTTTTTTCTTGTTTAAAGTGTTTTTTATGGAGATTAGATTGTATATGTGATCTTAAAGTTTCACATTAATTATGTCACATTTGCTAATTTGAAAATTGAAGATTTTGTATATGCTAACTTGGATATGATCGAATCATAAATGGTTAAACAACTAGTAATTTGGAATTAGTTGGTTTCGTGGTCGTTTATCTTTCCTCGTAGTCCGGTCAATGTAAGTAATCATCTATTGTTGCTCAACTGTCCTCTTCTTAACGAAATGTGTTCCCTCCTTCGGCTTTCGTTAGTCTACACGGACTCTGTGGCTTATATAGAAGACAAGAATGTAAACATTCTGTTTATTTAATAAATTAATAGATAAAAATTGATGAAATAATAGTCGCCCTAAATCTATATTATTTAGTGGATTGTTGGTTTTGGAGGCCCGAATGTTATAAATTGGATTATTCGGGGGTTAAAGTGTAAGTCCAGGACTTGTTTCGCAAAGGATTTTAGAAGTCAATGGGTGTTTGGTATTATTGGGACTTAATATGTAAGGATTTGTGGAGGCAGCGGTTGATTGGTAACATTTTGGACTTGATTTGTAAAGGGTTTCAAAAGACATGGTTAAAAGGGTAATATATCGATTTATTTTGAAAGAAATGAGGGAAGAGAGGGACTAAACTTATTATTATGGGGTAGAGTTTCGTGAGTCGGGTATATAACCCAACATCATCGGGTGCCAAACTCTAACCCTAAAAAATGATGTCGGTCGTCACCCCACTCTCTTTTATCCTCCAGTCACAAACCTCATAATCCCTACCACCAGTCGTTGTTCCTCACCGCTAAAGTCGGAGCACCCTACATCACCACCATTGTTGGAGTCGTCGAGCACCACCACCACACCCCATGTCGGTTGTGACGTCTTGAATGGTCGGAGGAACCCCTATCACGTCCAAAAAATTTACGCCAAATTTAAACTTTTTCAATTATAAATAAAGCCAAATGGTATTTGTTTACAAAATATTTTCAAATCATTATTCATCAGAGTGTCCTACTAACTAGATCAAAATGATGAAGAGCGATACGGCCACGCCTTCGCCTTGCCATGATCTCCTGAACTACCTGAAACAATAAACTGAGAACTGTAAGCCCGAAGGCTTAGTGAGCTACCCCCAAAATACCAATACCACGTTGATAATACCATACCAGTAACAGACAATCAATAACATGCATACTGGGCCATCGGCCTGAATGGACCGCCCTGTAGGGCCTTCAGTCTATTTGATCCTATCCCGAGCCTTCGGCATGACTGGACCGCCATGTGGACCTACAGTCTCCCCGGACCGCTCATAAAGTATGTTGGCCTTCAGCACAAAGCAGGACCGTCTCAACCCAACCAACAAGCAAATAACCATGTGTGCATAACTATCATATACTGGCATATACAAACATCAAACATATCTTACTCACTGATCATCAATCATAGAAATCTCTCGTAACTAGAGTACCGACCTAGCAGGTCACTTACATACTAATCCTTACGGATCATAAGAGCATAATATATTGTCTATCTTGATTCCGATCTAACAGATCATAACCACATGTAGCACATCATAACAATAAGAACTTAAGGGTCGGCCTTAGTGCCATAGACCCGATTGATTTAGTAAGGATAACTCACCTTGCAAATGTCGACTCGGAAGATAAACTCCAACTCTCGGATCACTGTCAAAAACTCCACCACCTATTAACATGATATAACTATACCCATAAGTTCCCAACCTTTCAAGGTACCCCATAAGCCAACTAATCAAACCCTGGTCAAAATCAAAGTCATCAGTCAAGGTCAACAATCCATGTTGACCCTAACTCGTCGCGTACCCTCGACTACTCGCCGATTTCCTTGAAGTACTTACCCACTCGCTGAGTCACGGAGTGACTCATCGAGTTCCTTTAGTTTATGATTGAACTATAAGACCACTCATCGAGTTTCCTTCTTGCAACTCGACGGTTACACACACATACGTAAATTGGGGAAACCTCAACCGACTAGCCGAGTTGTTCATACAACTCGTCGAGTTCTATGACAATCTTCATCAAACTCGCTGAGTTGTTCATCCAACTCGTCGGGTCCAAGCCTATCTTCATATGACTCGTCGAGTTCCTTCAGTCCTTAAGCCATACAGACTCTTTTAAGCCATGTAGTGGCTCCAAATTACAGATCCAGACTTCTAAGGCATGCATTTTGTAACGCCCATTCCTGGTACGTATTAATTCATTAAATGTCTTCTATAAAGAGCTACTCGGCGAGTAGCAGCCCTAACTCGTCAAGTAGATGCCAAGTTGGATGCGGGTTTTAAGTGATCTACTCAACGAGTCCGCACCTAGACTAGACGAGTAGGCCACTCTGGAGGAAACCCTAATCTTTAGGGTTTGTACCCTATTTAAACGTCCTTATAGCCCTCATCCCAGCCTCCAGCACCCGTAGAGCGTTTCCCTCTCATAATCCTAACCCTCCATTGGTGAGCTTAAGTGATTCCTTCTTGCTTTTGAGTGTTTTGGTGTATTCTTGGAAGTGTAGAATAGAAGAAAAGAGAGAAGGTGCAAAGGAAAAGAAGGAGATCCAGAAGCTAGCTTCCATTTACTTCATCTGGTAATAAAGCCTCTACCTTGTTCATTTTCCTAGTAGATCTTCATATATGCTTGTTTTACCACTTTTGGGACATTTCAAGGTCCAAACTCGAGATTGGAGCTCCCTTAGGGTGGTGAGCTATAGATCTTGACATCATTAAGCCCCAGGAACTCAAAGTAGCTACCTTTGTGCAAAGCAAGGCCTTGTTCCAAACCTTAGGTTCCCATTTCTAGCTTATTTTGGTGTTTTAGCTTCATACCTCAGTGCATGTACGTAAAGTTGGCAACTTTACGTGTTATATCGGCCCTAGAAGCTCAGATCTATGAATTGGATGCATTGGAATCGATTAGAATCAACTGTATAGAAGTTGCATGCAACTGACTCGGCGAGTCGTTCTTCGGACTCGACGAGTCGAGTCGCGAGTCCCTAATATTCCCCTTCATAAGTCATGCCGAATGGAACCAGTGAGTTATGGGTGGACTCAGTGAGTCGGAGATTAGACTCATTCATAGAGGGACTCGGCGAGTCAGTGCCCTGACTCGGCGAGTCCAAGGCAATCTTCATATCTCAAGAACAAACTCGGTGATTTGTTCGTACAACTCGGCGAGTCACAGTCAGATTGTTCATATGTTGAAGGAGAACCCGACGAGTTGTTCGTACAACTCGGCGAGTCGGATGCAGATTGACTAAGTGTTAGTATCAAAGAGGAACTCATCGAGTCTATTCCAAACTCGACGAGTAGTAGCGAGCAGAATTAAGAAATGAGAGTAGGGACTCGACGAGTTGGTGGCCCAACTCGACGAGTCAGGTCAAATGTATGTTGACTTTGACCAAGGGTAAAACATTTATTTCACCCTCAGTATAGTTATCGGTATTTGATTGAGTGTACTTATGGAAATTATAGCCGGGGAGATACCGAAGCAACAGCAGACAGTTTCCAAAGCAGTTCATTCAGCAGCCAGACTACGAGGTGAGTTTCCTTCCAATAAGAACGGGTCTACGACCATAATACCGACTCGTTTAGTTAGCAGTAGTTCTGGACCTCGGTCCGATGCAGTGGTTAGATTGCTTGATGTCTTTGTGATTCAAGCATGTTTTGTGTTATGTGTTCCGGACTTTGGTCTGATATAGTATGTAGTATATGTGCTTATGCTAGTTGATATGTTTATGCTATGCTATGTTATGCTCAGTCAGTTTCCAGACTTCGGTCTGATGCAGGGGACAAGGTCCCAGTCAGTTCCAGACTTCGGTCCGATGCAATTAGTTTCGGACTTCGGTCCGATGCATCCGATGCAGTGGGCAAGGCCCAGTATGTGCTTTATATGTTATTGTATGGTATGTGGTAGT